CAAAAAAAATCTGTAATGATCACATTTTTAACTGATGTGTGTGTGTTGACCAGAAATACGGTCCGAGGACTAACCAGATCTATTCCCAAAAAAATAATAGTTTGACCACCCTCTCCCACAGTGTTATGATTCATAACAGAGACCTTTATTGAGAAATCTTGTTTTGAACTTTTAGTTTGAAATCAAGATTGTTAGAAGTACTCTAATTTTTTTATTTTTATTTTCAAATTTTATGCAGTGCATAACAAATATGGTGTCAAGAATTTGTCTTTTTTGGTATAGTTCCAACGTTTTCTTATTTTCTGAAGCCTATTTCTTTTTAAAGATGAACATGTAATTTTTAGTATTGTTGTTTGATACTGTATATACAGTATTGGACTGATTTATCATGAACGAAAACGCTGTTCTTGTAGCACATATCCGAATATTCGCTTGACAGTAAAATATAGTTTTCTAATAAACATTGTGCACTGGTTGTTTTGCTACGTACAATAACAATCATGTACATGCGTAATAGTGGTTTGAATTTTTGTTTAATGAATACTGTGTCCTCCTATTTTTAGTTTATAGTAAATCCTAATTCGATTTGATCTACAGTTTGGAGTATAAAAATATACATTTTCATCCATATTGCATCTTTAATAAAAAAAATAGCAACAGTGAAAGTTGAGAAAAATGTATGACAAGCAGCAAACTTTCTCTTTGTATGAGCACTGACCAGCTTGTTCACGTTATACAATGATCACAAATAAAGACACAATAACACACACTAGACTGTTTATACTATTGTGGGGCACACTCCACTATATAATATATTACATTAGAATATACAGATTAATTACAAGTTGAATTGGATTGGCTTTTATAAAGCAGACAAAGCACCAGACTTTTGTCAACATTCTGATTCGCACACTGGTTCTCATTAAAAAACATGTATACAATAAATACACAAGGTAGACAGAGGGCTCCATTACTAATTCAACAGCACCACTATTTTTATATAAAGTCAGTATATCACATATTTATAGTATATAAAAAGATCACCCTGCTGTATGCAATATTAAGTACTAATACCTACAAGATTTTAATTACAATAAGTACAGCTACAATTTCTTTTGTACCTAATAAATATAAAAGAAGCAGAGTTGACTCGAAGATTGCACTTCAGAGCTTATTAGTCTAGATGACTTGGCTCTTAGAAAATGATGATTTAAATAACACAAAGTCAAAGATTTGCATAAAAAATAGTAAAAAGTACAATGTGATAAAAATGTATACCGGTACATTATAATTCAAATGCTTTGGAAGCACTATCCAGAATATAGTTTCAGTTTTTCATAGAATGTATTCGACATTCTATTCGCTATATACTGCGCTTCACTAATGTCTAGCTTAGATGGTTTTAGTATTGCTTCATATTCATAATATCATAGATGTAGATTTCATTAGTTGAATTAAAATTCCATCAATGCAAATACTTGAGATTATGAAGGAAATATCTACACACTGTATTTAAAACGAGAGAGTCGTCACCTACGCATGCGTCAGATGGCCATACCGTGTCATTGTCTACAAACAAGCGTCTGCCCATGGGCCTTTGTGTTTTAGCATGTCTTATCGTCGCTTGGGACTCAATTCCCGTGCATGCGCAGGTGACAACTCTCCCACTTTAACCTGGCAAATGAACATGTTTATGACATCACATAGTACTGTGAGAGACATTTGCATCAAATGGTAATAAATTAGTGTATTATAGGGGTTCTGTTGGAGTGGTATATAGCAAATAGAATTTCACAAAAAGATTCTATGGTATGTAAATTGTAAGTAAAGTTAAATGACTGCTCAAGTCATACAAACTAAGAATTCAGACATTATTCAGATTAATGAAATACATTTTTTTGCATGAATACAACCACATGTCACAGATAGCATAAAATACTATGAAAATATCTAGTTTATTTGCCAAGCTATGCAGTCCTTATTTTAATTTTAGTTTTTAATGAGTTATAGTTTGCATGTACCATATTTGCTACATTAGAACAAATATGTAAACACTACATGTATCTACTTCAGTGAGTATCCTTTTTGGAAAGAAAATGCACAATGCACAAACATTATGCATATATTTTGAAATACTGGTTTGTACTCTAGTTTTGCCATGTCACAAAATGCATGTACTGTTATACTAATTTTGTTTTGCTTTAAGAAATGTCATATATAAATCGTGTTATAAAATATTATTTATTTATAAAGTGCTGCAATTATAGCGACATGTTTGATATACTGTTAAATACTTACTTTTCGCTTGTAATTAATTTTCAGTGTTTTCGCTGAAGGCATGATTCAGTGAAAATAAAATCTAGTGAATATATCTATTTTCCTATGTTATACATTCAACTTATCAAAAATCGGTGAAAATAAAATCCATCCAAAACACCAACACCAGCGAAAATTAATTCCAGCTAAAATAAAGTATTTCACAGTTCCTTCCATGTGACGCATACAATGCATATCAAATGCAGAGTTTGTTTACAAAATATTCAAACATGCACTCCAGTTGTTTGGCACTTTAGATGTTTTTGTTCTTTTTTAAATACACAAAGCACCAGAAATCAATAAAATGTTTAAAAACACAAATATATTTTTTCAATAAAACTGGGTCCCATTATCTACAGGGGTACTACACACCTGTTGAGGGCTCCAATCTATCAAATCTTAGTATTGCAAAAATAGGAGGAAAAAAATATATGTAAATACAGCCAAATGATACAATTATACTACAAATGTACTGTTTACCTTAGGACCTCATCATGCATAACTTTGATACTGATCTATGTCCTTCCCACAAGAGACAATAAAATGCTTGGGAACTCGCACAACAACATTTTTTTCACTACAAAATACTTGTTTTTATCTTCTTCTTTTCAATATAATGTCACTCAAAGCATGACAAGTTATTTCCAGATTTTCATACTGATGACATCACACATTCAAAAATAAAACAAAAAATTACCTCATTTTCTACTTTTGAGTATATCATACCAGCAATAAATTCTTAGCAATATAAGCCTACATGCAACCTTCTCAGAAATGATTTGAACGATTTTTATCATCACGTAGGTAACTCTTTCTCATAATACTTGTACATCTAGCATGAGCCTCTCAGCCAACACAGCCGGTTTATTATAAATGCACAGGTGAAGAGTTCATCATTATGCACATAGGACAGAAATAGTCCTGCTGATAAAAATTAAAACAAACTTTTGTCTGTTAACTGACAGCAACAGTTGCTAAAGTTATGCAAAATTGATGAATGGGATATCAGATGAAATGTGTGGAATTCGTGTTATAGACAAATACATTAAATCAAGCATTTTGACCTAGTAGTAGATGTCTGGAAGAGAAAAAAAAATATAACTGTACATCTATAGTACATATTAAAAAACTATATCTAGCTAAAAATTTCATTTCGGCAAATATGACTTGCTCAATGTCTAACTTAGACAAAAAACAGTCTTGTATCAAGAATTTTAAATTTTGTCAGACAAATGTATTACCGGTAACGTAAAATCTATATTAGAAGACACATCCCTAATAGAAGTCACACTCATTTTTTTTGGACAATTGAGAACGAAAAACATCACAATTTCTCATGTTTGTAGATGTTCTAATAGAAACTGCATCCCCTCTGTTTCTAATACAGATTTTACAGTACTTAAGCTACACCTTGTATTTGTGAAAATATAAAGTAGGTTAAATAGCAAAAATTAAAATATTCCACAGTATTTGTTGATTTTAGTTTAAAATCAAACCATCTGCTTGACAGTGTGATGTGGTACAAGATAGGACCATGAATCAGGAAAAAATTAGCTACACAATAAACCACATTTCTAACACGTAACTTCCTCCCCAAAAGTAAATTTTCCCACCAATTAATGATTTGAAAAAAAATGAAAACCAATAAAAAAAATTTAAAAATTCTCTTGGTTGTGGAAAAGCAGGGAGGGGGTGGGGCGCTTCTTCAAATGTGGTTTAGTTTTCAGTCTAATCAAATCAATTACAGGAAGTCAATGTAATTTTACCGGTCACTCGGGTATTGGCTTCTTTCCTGTACTAAACTAATAAAACTGAAGTGTACTTTGAAGTGAGTGGGTGGTTTATATATAGCTAATCCTTTATATAGCCTAATGAATGAAAACCATCCTGATTGCCAGTAAAACTTTGCCCAACAATTACCCGAGAGACTTTCATTCAGTCTAAAATATTTCACACTTCCATTTGTCAATTTTAAAACAATGTATTAGAAGAAGTGGAGAAGTGGAGAATACATGTCCTTGAGTGTCAGGGTTGTTCTCACTGAATCTTGTGCATTGAGGAATTTCAGGTATGCTTTAGCTGCATAGTTGTGGCTTAGGGTGCAAGCTGGGTGACCAGTATTTATTAATACAAATTTACATTGCAAAGGAACAAGTCAGCTATTTGGCACTGAGAGATCATGCCTATAAATTGTCATGGTGTCAGTAGGGCATTGTATGCCATACAAGATTGCCTTCATCATAATTCACTAATAGTCCACTACCAAACGATTAATTTTCAGGATGAATCTCGTCATGAAATAGCATTTGGCGGACCTTATTTCTGAAAATTATCTGATCCAACAGTTATATTATTGCTCAACACTATTTCAGTTAGTTTACAAATTGTGAATATACTATTAAGTTTGCCTTCTTGTAAAGAAGCAACCACATGTGAGCACAAAAAAGATTTTTGTCTGAAAAAAAATTAATACTTAAAATATTGGCAGTTTTTCAAGAGCAGGAAAAATACACTTTTTTTAAGAAGATAGTTTTAACTTCAGTGATATAAAATATAATTCTGATATGCTTTTGAGAGACCTTTTTTTTTAAATGTGTATTCATAGTTCTGATTTCAAGTCTTCTTTCTTCTTTGATTTAAAATTCATTGCTGCAGAGTTAATGCAGTATCTTTTGCCAGTTGGTTTAGGCCCATCATCAAAAAGATGACCAAGATGAGCACCACACTGTAAAATAACAAGGAAATAATATTCAATAAAGGAATAAAATGTAACAAGCAGCCTCTCGGCTGAGATAGCTCCGCTGTTAGCAATGCACATGGCAATTAAAGAACAGAAGACTTAAGGTTTTAACAAGAGGTCGAAAATATCACTTTTTACCAAAAATTACAAAAATATTCACCAAAATTAGAGAATTGAAGATATCATTATGAAATGAACAAATCTGAGAGAGGTCCACATGTAGTACCTATATATGTAATATCAAAGCAATTGGACTTGAGGTTTTTAACAAGAAGTCGAAAATATCACTTTTTACCAAAAATTACAAAAATATTCACCAAAATTAGAAAATTAAAGATATCATTACAAAATGAACAAATCTGAGAGAGGTCCACATGTAGTACCTATATATGTAATATCAAAGCAATTGGACTTGCGGTTTTCAACAAGAAGTTGAAAATATCACTTTTCACCAAAAATTACAAAAATATTCACCAAAATTAGAGAATTGAAGATATCATTATGAAATGAACAAATCTGAGAGAGGTCCACATGTAGTACCTATATATGTAATATCAAAGCAATTGAACTTGCGGTTTTCAACAAGAAGTCGAAAATATCACTTTTTACCAAAAATGACAAAAATATTCACCAAAATTAGAGAATTGAAGATATCATCATGAAATGAACAAATCTGAGACAGGTCTACCCAAGGTACATATACACCAAGTATCAAAGCATTCAGGCTTGTAGTTTTCAAGAAGAAGTCGAACAAGTAAAACATTGACACGGACGACGACGGCGGACAATCACTCATATGATAAGCTCCGCTCGACAAAGTCGACAGCGGAGCTAAAAAGAGGGATTTAAAAATATTGTTACAAAGATGCATTGCTCTGTCCAATAGTTGACCATTAAGTTTAATAGATATAATGTATCAGCAATCATTGAGCTCCAACTGCCGGCTACATGTAGCTGAATAGAAAATCAATTTTCAGAGGAAATGCTGTTTGCTAGGATTTTTTGAACATTAATCTCAATCTTGTCCATGCCCTTAAAATGTTTCATTTACACCTCATTTCATTTTGCCACTGAGTTACTATTCATTCATAAGCATTCATTCATTCATTCATTCAAATCAAAAATCTATCTCTAATGTAGTTGCTGCAATCGTTATGAATGCTCCAGGGTTTAACCTTTTAAATGGCAGAGTTTTTCACGCTGAAATTTTGGAGCAACGTTTTAAATGATTTTGGACCAAATGAAAATAACTTTTTTGAAAAAAACACACAGAAAAGTGGGTTTATTTTGAGACAAACAATAACACTGAGGTTAAATACCAAAGTGTATAGATTTTTTTTAATGCGTTATCTACCTCATAACTACCAGTAACTGACACCGGAAAACTTGACACTGACTAACTCAATTATTTCAATGCAACACATGAAAGTATATTAAAAAAAATCAGGCCAATGCAGTAACTACACTATGAAACACAATGATGCTATAGAGCATGGAGAGGGATTATCAGATAAAAGTAACATAGGTTATATCAATATTGACATTTGTAACTACCTAAAATAACTACTAACTGTCCAGTTATTCCTACCATATTTGCTCTATTCAAAGCTCATCTCCAATGTGAGACAAAAGATGTTCTTTTTTGGGGGGGGGGGATTTTGAGAACAAACTCACAGATCCACTTATGATACCATTTTTTTTATTATTATTAGTGCATGTGCCTATGTAAATTATAGAGGTGTTTTTATGGTCAAAAGTATTAACATTTGAAATTAGTATGCAACAAATGCATTTTTTGGTAAAATTAACTTTTATTGGAGATGTGCTTCTAAAACGAATCTGCTGAATGATTTAACAGATCTCAGATAAGTGTATACATTTCTAATACAGTATTTAGAATTCCAACAACAACAACAGTCTGACCATGCTAAAAAAGTCTCAACACAATTCTACATGTTCAGGTGAAGAAGTTGAGGGTATCACTACTGGCTTTCATCTTCCTAAACTGCTTTTCTAGCAACTCGATATACACAATAACTAGGCTGAACAGTTCATTTTGATGTTGCACTTGCGCAGATTTATCTGCTAGTAAGTTTAGAACATGGGTTAGATTTACCAGACATTAATGTAAAGAAACATTTAGTTTATGTGTACAGAGTAGATATTTCTGGTTCCCTTGCAAGTACCCTATTGTTCACTCTATCAACATTGACTATCAAAATTGACTCACCTTAGGTTATTAAGCTAGCCTTTCAGGAAGTCATTTATTTACTGATGGACTTAGTAGGCTAGCAACACTAGATGACCAAGTATGTCTTTGCATACACCATAATATTAAAGCTCTTGCTAGGTTAATACAGTATATTAAAAAATATTGCTAACACAAGGAACACAGCTGCTTTTTATGCTTTTATCTAACTGGATTCTGAACTACATATACAGCTTTTAATTAACATAAAATTGCATTATCATATCACTTATACAATGCAGCTGTGTGATTTTATTTCGTACCTCAAGAGGGCGCTATTATCAACAAGATAACCAGCTGTGTACCCGATGTAAGACCTGTGGCTGGAAAAGTCCTTTGATGCTGCTATAAATATTTGCATTTGGAACCTGGATGAATAGTGTTTACTAACTGTACATTGTTCATTGTATAAACTCACCTTTGAGCAAATGACCTCAGTGCGCACCATTTGATATGATGTATCCGGTCTCAAAGTGACAGAGCCCTCTCTGGCTTCATCCCAGAAAGCAGGCCAGCCTAGAAATACATATACCATATTGGCTTGAAGAACATCTCCAATAGAATTGCACATAAACCAAAAATGTATTGTATGATACATCATTAAAATATGATCATAATCACAACACTGTCATTTATGTAGAAATATGGTACATTTTATTTTTTTAATTTTAGATATTATATTTAATTTTGGAAAAAACAATTTAAGGGCAGTGAGAATTTCTTTTTGTTAAATTTTGGGGATTTTTTTTTCAAAATGCATGAGCTTAACAAGGCATAGCAAAAATAAAACATTCAAAGCAGTTCAGAAAGAATTATTATTATCATAAACTTGCAAAACATCAATAATCCACGAAAGATATTTTATTATTTAAATTACATAATCTAACAATGATTGTAAATAAGTAGTTAAGTAGAAAGGCATGAAATTGACACTTGCACTGGGTGGGAACATTGCAACATTTTAAATTGGGCAACATATAATTTCACTAGACTGCAGTTACTTACCCGAATTAGATTCAAATTTTTCTGATGTTCTGCATAAATAAATAAACAAAAAAGAAATCACAAACTTTGCACATTTGACCACGAAAAATGAAGGAAAGGTATTATTGAATGCCATAAATTGTATGCAACAATTTGCAAATTTTTATTAATTTTTTTAATAATAATTTTTTCAAAGCAAATAAATAATTCGTCCAGGTCTTGATCAAAATTATGAAAAAAATGAAGGTATATTGATGAAGATGATTTTGGCATTCAATTGGTGATTAACAGTGTGCCTTCTAACTAAGTTTGTAGCAATGTAAATGAAAAAACTTGGTGACTGATGGAAAAAAAGTGTTATTAAAAAAATAAAGCTTGAATGCTGCCGGGAGCTTCTGAAAGCACAAACTAAACTATTGAAGCACCATTATTTTTACACTTACTCTGTTTTACCAAAGTACAAATTCCACGATTTACTGTTGCATAGGTAATTGCATAACAAAAAATACCTGTGCATCAATGATGTGTCATATTGTACCAGCAGGCACACTACATGTAGTTACTAACCCATAATAATTTAGTATAGAGGGACGTTTACAGATATAGTGGTAAAAGAGAGACTCTTGGATATACATGTATCCCAATCCTGGTAGATTTGTGCTTACAGGTGTGATAAATCAACAACATGTGAATTCCATTTGATAACACTCATTTTACTAAAAATGGAACTGATGCAATCAACATGGTAGAGCATGTGAAGCATACCTTATGGGGACAATATGCACAAATGAACACAAATTCAATCCCAACTTGCATTACTTTGTTTTCTGTAATTCCTTGTGAATCCCAAGTAAGTTTAAGCCTGGACAAAGCCCTTGTGAAATAGCACAACAGTTATAATGACATCTGTGCTATTTTAGTTTTTGTTTACTCATTTGTCAAATCGAGGATCTAACATCTTCATGAATAATTTAACACATAACATAATGCTTAGTGACATCATTTGAATAAACTGCTGTTGTATGTTAGTATTTCTATCTTGGGTACTAGGATAATGCATTGTCCACATGCATGGATTCATATCTGTTTATGTGGAGGCACTTAGTAGGAAATTCAAGAAGATGATAGTGCATGTTCAAATCAAATTGGTTACTGTGCATCATGCATGCAGGACTTGATTTATCAGTAGTAGCTTTGCAATAATGCTAAAAAGGAATGCATCTTTTGTTTTTGATGTTACTGCTAATCAGTAAAAAACTGTATAGTAAAGTTAATTTACTACCAGTAACACCTGAGAATAGCGAAGAAGTCACACTCATTCTTTTTGAAAAATTGAGAACCAAAAATTGCATCACCTCTCATATGCGTTAGATGCTCTAATAGAAGCCGCATCCCCTCTGTTGCATCTTGTAGCATTTTAATAGAAACCGCACTAATGATTTTACAGTACTTAGCATAGTCACCAATGGTGGTTACAGTGAGTGTAAAGGAATGATATTATGATTGTTGCCCCGATAATCACTGCGTGATGTTTACAATAGTGCAGCAGTGTTTGCATTTTTATTTTGAAAACTATCACCATACGTCAGCCAGGCACGGGGCCAGGCATGAGGTTTGGTGTAAACTTACAGCTTTGGTTTAAAAAAAACATATTAAGAGTTTACACATTTACCTTAATTTGGTCATGCATACATTTTGGTTTCTACGATTTTTCAGAGTGCTTCATATTTTCCATTTTGGTTGTAAAAGTTACTAAATTTGTTTACACTATACCTAGAAAACATTAATTATTGGCGGTTCACTGCACCACTTCTCTGGGAATATAACTACTAGGCTTGTCAACCCAGGGTGTCACCAGTAGAAACTATAATACCAATGGGTGTGTGAGGACCCCAAGGGGATCTATAAATTATGTTATATAATTAGTAAGAGGTCCTTAACATTTTCAATGGTCCAATGGTTTCTTTTTGACATTTTCAAGAATTACAGGGGCTGTAGTTTGGCTGTGTTGGTCTAATCTGTGACACATTATGGCAATTATAGGCCCATTTTACCATGATTTTGAACTAGTGTATATGCGTTTGTGTTTAGTTGTCGTTCATTAGAAGAGAACTAAGTACTGCACTGACAGGTTTGCTAGAATACTATTCCCTACCAAGCTGATTCACCTGTATTTCTATGATTGGGTTTTGGTTTGCACTGACGTTCAGTATGAAATTACTTTGTCAGTTGCAGTTAGTCCGGTACCAATAACCGTGGAGTTTAAACACTGTCACACAATTGTAAACATCGTACAGGGTTTATCGATGAAATTTACACTCATCACTGTAACCATGATCGGTGATTACGCAGAGTGATCGTTTCGCTAAGGTGTTACCAGTAGTAAAGGGAATTGTTAATTGTTAAGCATATTAATTACCTGAAAATTTCATTTCCACAGACAACACAAGTAAATGTCCCATCACTGTTGACTTTTAGGAATTCACCACTGAAGGCTCTGAAGAAAAAAACGACAACAAAAATCATTTTAGTATTTTTGAGGTACATTGTAAGTTAAAGTTGTTTGATACAGATTCACTTTTGCCATGTGCACCGAATAGAGCACTTAATCCCACTAGTTTGAACATACTTGTCGGCTCGTACATGGGTGAACATAATGCCAATGCCAGTATTACATATAATATTTTTTTATTTTTGGGGATTTATTTCCTCATCATACGCATCATACTCCATGAATCTCTGTGTAGAATGATGGAAAACGCCAATGTGTATGGTGGTTACTACATAATATTAACATAATTTCCCCAAAACAAGGTTTATTATTGCTACATATAATGTGTACCAAAATTTCAAGTAATAAATTTGGAGAAGGCCTGATACTTCCAAGAATTGAATCCTGGATATCCGGAATTCTTTATTTTAGCTGGAATTAATTTTTGCTGAAAAAGCTTTTTGGGTGTTTTGTTTTGTATGGAATTTATTTTGACTGATTTTTGATGAGTTGAATGTGAGACATAGAAAAAAAAGTATATTCGCTGGATTTTATTTTACTGAAAATAGCGAAAATAAATTCCAAGTGGGAATAACGTATTCTACAGTATTTTTAACAAACACCCACACAAACAAAAGTTTTCCATACTTTACTGACAGAGGGCACTGTAACTTCAAATATTATTAGACCAACTGGTATTAACAAGCTTGTTAATTATTTCTATGTTAATTAAATTGTTGCATTATACCATATTTGTCTGAAACATTGCCCACTGCCACAAAATCAAATAAATACTGTAAACAAATAACACAGTAGTTTTCCTATTAAAGGGGCACCTTCCAGTTAAGATTAATTTCACAACAAATTTACTTTCTGGATTAAAATAACAATGGATAACAAAAGATAGATTAACATTGTAAACAACATAAACAATAGTGTCCCATGATGCAATCCATTTGGTGCAATCCATGGGATTGAGCGGTTCCCCTTTAAGCATGAACTTAATAGGATCAAAGACAATGTCTAATGTCTTAGGACAGGATACAAATCGTCTTCAGCATTCCATAAAATAGACCATTTTCCGTTCACTG